TTATCACAATTGTATGATATCTATTCGTTAATTTAATGTATTCAAGAAAAAGCATCATGCAAAATATATGTTCTTGCATTTTGTAATTTGTGTTGGCATCAACTACCTTTACTTAAAACAACATATATGTCTGCAGTGGTACAAACAACAGAGGATTATCTGTTTTTGAGGTTTTTGTTGAATATTTTGACAATAAAGTGAACCTATTGCTGAATCTTTGTGGTATTTCTGTGCCTTTTGTGTTCCTTTTCACAACTTCACATTTTTTAAACTTTATTTATTTTTACAAATCCACAATATTAAACACTTGTTAGTCATCTCTAGGAAATCAAATGATTTTTATTGTCTTCTAAACATTATAGGAAGACAGATTTATATACAGCATTCTTTGCATAATAATAATTATTATTATTGTTGTTATTATTGCTCTTGTTATTATATAAATATACATGAGTTGTCCAATATTTTGTTTTTGTGAGGAAAAAATTGCAAGATTACCTAAAATTTGAGGGAGCTTGTTTCTCACATTGAAAAACAAAAACAAAAAACACTAACAAACAAAAGAAAACATTATTGTTATTATTTAGCTATAGATATATACATATGTAAAGAATTATTTTTTCCACCACACCTAAGTTCAATTCAGGGTTTGTATGTTGAAATACAGAGATTTTACTTTTTTATGGTAGCAGAGACAAACTTCCATTGATAATATGTAGAGGTCATTTGAGGTTGGTAAACACAGTAAGGACTACTATTCCCACAATCCCCTGCGTCTTTCGGTGACGTCACATAGAGCCCGGACCCGGCGTAGTGGCGCTGTGTGTGTTTGGCAACAACAAAAAGAGTGTTTTGAGAATAGTTTTAACTGCATTTTCACCCGCGGTATTTTAAGGGACATTATCACAGGTAAGTTATTCGGTGGAGTGTCTTCGACTTCATTAAGTTTTATTTTTAGTGTGAGCTAAAAGCGAGAGTTAGATTACAGTGTTGATTTTAGCCGGTTGGCTCGCTGGCTAGCAAGATGGCTCCGGCTACTTACTGCGAAACAATAACAAAGAATTAGCCATGGTGATGAATTTAAATGGATTGGTGTGTTTTTAAAGTTTATTGTGAGCTGAATATAGCTGCAAAGTGTAATGTAATAATTTAGGGAAGGTGTGGGTCTTTTTAATTGGTGCTGTTGCCGGTGTACGCCTTCCGCTTCAGGCGTTAGATGGTGGCGATGACTCCGCCGCTACTGCTGTCCGTTGGAGGAAGAGGAAGAGGAAGGAGGTGATGATGATGATGACATGCAGTTAGCTAGCTGGCTGCCTCTCTTGCTGGACGGACGGACTAGAGCCCGCAGAGTGTCGGAGGTGTCACCGCGAAAACAGCACAGGATCCGTGCTGAAGAGAGGCGAAGATGCCGCGGAGAAAACAGTCCAACCCGCAGCCGGTGAAACGTAAGTCCAGCTGTTTACTTCCAGCTCTTTGCTGCCTTTCTCTCCGCATGAATCTTAAATCACTGCCATAGAATAAGGCAATGAGTCTTTGCTAGGTATTGGTCCACTTTAAATGCATTTTTATAAAATTAGACATATTTCTGAGGGATACAGTAATGTTAAAAGTTGCCTGACTGGTCATCAAGTCCTTTCCTCTTTATCTCCCTGAGAGGAAGACTGCTGAAGACATGTTGTCCTTTAAGCAGATGTGTTTATCTGTTATCTCATCCTGACTGTTCTGGCTCACTTGGATTCTCCACCTCCTCTCTGCTTCCTATCTCCACTTCCTCTTCACAGGCTCCCTACCTAACCTCCCCCTGCTCCCTCCCTTCGTTCTTCCTCTCTTTCTTTCACAGCTTCCTGTATGATTTTTGTCATTCCCCTTGGTTTCCTGTGTACCCTCACCTTTATTATTAACAGGGGCCAGAAGACGTTTTTAGGTTCTAGTTGTGTCTCCAGTTTCTTTTGTTTTACTCTCCTCCCACACGTCACCTGTAGAACGCTCACCTCCCTTCGTTTACATTTTCTTGACTGCGTGGGCATCAGTCAGCTTACAAAAAGAGAATACTGGATTTAGGAGACCTGAAGTCACCTGTTGACCTTCTCAGATTTCTAATGATGTACATATTTAAACAGGCACTAGATGGGAGTGTACTTTTGAGCATGTGAGCAGGGGCTCAGAGGGGAAAAAAGGCCAGTACATCCTTGTATTCAAATTACTCGTATTCAAAGTCTAACTGCAGCTCAAGTAGCTTCTGGACGTCTGACACAATCACAGCAGTGTTATCTGAAAGAATGATCGCACAGTTGAACCAAAGCTTCTGTAAAACTGAACGATAAAAGGAGGATTGATGTGTTTTAGTTCAGGTCGGTCTACGTTTGAACACGTTAGCAGTTCATTTGAACAAAGATTGACCGAACAGCTTTGGTTCTACAGTGGAGGAATGACATTTTTTGCTGTTATAACCGAAACCAACATTTTAATGAAGGAAAACCTAAAATATCTGGGATTTGTAAGACGCTGGGTCTTAACTCACATTACCTGCCTGCAGACTTGTTGAAAAACTAAAAGACTTTAAACAGGACTCTTAGCAGTAGCTTGCAGAACCAGCTTTATCAACTACAACTTCAAATAATCATTTTCTGTGTGATTTTATCCGTCTGTAACACTCTTCTTTACAGAATTGCTCCAGTTCATTGAGGTATACAGGTATTCATTTAAGATTTGTTGCAGGGCTTGGGATCATTGTTCAGTTGAAGGACCCTGTTTGTACCAATAACGTAAAATAATCTTTAGTTGTCACACAGACAGCCTCATGTTTGACTGTAGAATACTTTGGTATACAGAAGAGTTCATTGTTGAGTCAATGACTGCAAGATGTCCAGGTCCTGTCTGTATAATAAGTCCAAATCATGACCGTTCCACCACCACGCTGACAGCTGTTATGAGATTTTTGTGCTGATATGCTGAGTTTGATTTTGATCTTGCTGTGCAAAGGACTTCCAGAAGTCTTGTGATTTGCAGCTTTGGAAATCTAAGTTGTGCTGTCATGTCATGAGAGAAGAGGCTTTCAGTGCCTGCCAGTTCTTGCAGACAAGCCACAGTTAATTAGTCTTTTTCTAATTGTGCTGTCATAGACATTTAACTAAGGTAACCGAGGCCTGTAGAATCTGAAATGAAGCTCTTAGGGTTTTTTGTATTTTCTCTGGGCCTTGCACAGTCTGACACTGGGGTGAATTTGCTGCGATTTCCACTCCTGGGAAGACTGGCAGCTGTCTTGAATGTCTTCCATTTGTGGATAATCTCTGTCTCTGTAGAATGTATAACTTGGAAATGTCCTTATAACCCTTTTGAAACCCTTTTACCTTCTTAATTCCTACTCACCTGCGCAGCCTTAAACTTGTCATACAGCATCTTTGTTTTCTTTAGTCGATGCAGGGAGCAAGCACAGTGCAGCTTGAATTAGTTTGAAAAATTTTTAATGAGTTGTGGTGTTTGTTACTTTCTGTCCTCTGGCTGCTGGTCTGCAGCTAACGATTGCTTCTGTTGTTATATTTTTGGTTCCTACTAAAAAGGTTTCAACCAAACAGAAATCAACAAGCGTCTCATATAAATGTTTTTCACTTATTCTTTTTTTTAAGCAGGGCTTAGTTTACTTAGGCCTAATCCTCACATTTAAAATAGCCTGAAATGACAGGAAAACTCAGACTTTTGCCTTAATTGGATGTGTGTATTGGTCTCCAGAGGCCCATTTTGAGAAGGAAAAACATCTTAATTCTCTAAATTAATCTAAATAAATCTGCAAAAGCACCCCATATTTTTCCTGAATTAGTTTATCTTGTCTTAGTAAATGTCTCAGAACCTTAAATTCTAATTACTTTTTAGTTATGATTAAAAAGTTAATTATTAAAGATTACATTAGCCAGTGTTTGTCATTGACCTCTAAAAGACAAATAGGTCAGAAAAACCGCAGCAGAATAATTTTCTACTCTAACTACTGATAATAGTTATGCAAACTGTTTGAAAAAGTAGGTTTTGTAGGTTTCAAATGAAAGCTCAGGAAAATGGGAATTAAGAGAATAATTTTAAGTTTCCTTAATGTTTAGTGTAAATATTTTTAATTATCAGTAAGTTTTTATTTTCTTTGTGACATTAAAAGTTAGAATTGCTCTAAGCTGGGTCAACAAATGTCCGCTCAGAGGTTTAAGAGTATAAAAATGTCCTGTATCATCAGTTCTGTGTTCGACTCGTCTTCCTCTTCCTGACCCTCTCAGCCTCGTTCCTCACCCCACAGCTCTTCCTCCTCAGCACTTATCTCATGCTCACCGATTTCCTTCTCGTTTCCTCTCCACCTCCTTTGCTGTTATCCTTCTTCTTCTTCTTCTTTTTGTGTGTTTTCGAGCACAAACTCTGTTATCGGCTGTCTTCTGTCCCGTTTATCAAATGTGTTCTCTGCAGCCAAATTTTAAAACAAAAAAAACATGTGTATGTGAAACATGAGCCTGATTTTTGTCTTTAAACATCGTCTTTTTTATTACTGTTAAAAAAACAACCAACAACCCTGCAATCTGTAAATGTGTCTGGGTTTGTTTGTTTTGTTTTGTTTTTTTTTGGGGGGGGGGGGGGGGGGGTTGTTGTTTGTTTTTTTTAAAGGAAATGAAAATTTGTTACATAAAGAGAAGAGATGTTGATGTTTATGTCAGATGTTCACAGTTTTACAGCTCGTATCACAAAGGGAAGCCTTTGAGTGAAACCCAGACTTTTTAACACCCTCAGGTAGAAGCTGACTTTGTGTTTCAGGATGGGCTTGGCGTTTGTCTTCATTTGGCCAGGTGTGTTTATACAGGAAATTATGAGAAATGTTTGTGTGTCTGTTTGCACTCAGTGGACTCTGAGGATGGGGCAGTGGTGTGTGAGCCGGGCTGTCTCGTTTTGGACAGCGACTTCCTGCTGAGCGGCGAGCTGGAGTTTGGAGACTCGGAGATCATGGGACTGGATAGAGAGTCTGGTCAGTAACACACACACAGGTTTTTACATACACGGGGTTTGAAAGCAAGCCACATATTTAAACATTCCACATGTTTTTATTAGGCTTTTCTCTCTGTTTTGACCCTGTGCTCACACAATATTTAAACATTGTTCTCCCAATTCCTGGTAATCAGGCGAGGTATGGTCCCTTTGATGATCGGGCTCGAAAAGACTTACAAGTTCAAACTGATGTGCTTTCCGTATTTAAGATTTTGAGTTTATGGTACTTTGTACCATAAGTTTGTCTCTGAGTTTGTTGAAAGTGAAATAATATGCAAACCCATTTCTGTAGCGCAAGTTAAAAGTCAAATGTTTGCTAATTAAAAATTCAGAAAGTTAAACAGAATGTAAGCTGAATGTATTATTGGGTAATTAGTCTGCATTATTAGTTTATCACTGGGTAAGTGAAATGTGTTGAGTGTAAAAATCTGCCAAATGAAATGTGTGGCGCTAACCACTGTGGTGACCCCTTGTGGTAAAGGAGAAGCTGAAAATAGCTTATAGATTTTAAAATTCACATTTGAAGCCAAGTTAAAGAGTCACAAATGTTGAGCTAAAATGAAAAGTATGCAGTATTTTCACTTTTTAACTTGTCTGGGCTTCCATAGATGATGCTGTAGTGAAAGAGCAATGAACGACTGAGCATGCAGGTGGCGTTTGTGCACCAACTGTGAAGTCCTCACAGGTCCATACTAGCAACTGAGTTGTAAAGGACTCCCTCTTTGCACCACCGGTGTCACCACTCAGAAATAATCTCAGCATCGGTGCTGGTGTAGGAGTAGTAGAAGTCGAAAGCTGATGCAGCTTTTGTGATGTCACTTATGGTACAGGCTGATGTATAGAGGGCAAAGACATTTCATCGCTATGTTAGGAGCTCGGAGAAGTAGATTCTCCAACTGACTAACTTAAGTTGTCATGTTGTTTCTTGTTTTGACTTCTATTTCTGCTCCAGCGCTGATGCTGCTGATTTCCTTCTGAGTTGCAACACCTCACTCTGGAGAAGTGAGTTCAGCGTGCCTCAGCTGCCAGCATAAATATATAAATCATTCCTGTAATAAATTAAGTTTTTAAATGCAGCGGTTATTTCCTCAAACCCCATGAGAGTTGAATTTTTCTCCTCAAAGGTTGAAGCGACTGTCTGTTTAACCCTGTGTTCTTCTTCAGGTATGACTGTCTTCTCTCTAAGTGTGGAGGACGACTCGTCAGCACCGACAGACTCCACCTTCCCAGCGTTCCTCTCCTGTAAGGGATGTGGTCAGCTTCTGGGAGACACACCTTTGGGGGCAGGCTTAGATCTTGGTAACTATTGACTGACTATAACATGCCAGGCTGCTTACATGTGGAGTTAAAAATAAAAAAGACCTGGGCACAGAGTGATATTGGAATATTTTCACTTCTTTGATTTGAGTTCACTGTCCAGTAAATCTCACAACTCTATGATGGATAGAATCCAGCATATGTAAGCACATGAACACACATGCATATGAGTCACATCTACATAGTCCACCACTGGCATTAACGTGGAAACAGCAAGTCTATTTCTTGCCTCAGAGAGCAGACACAACTCAATGTAAAATAAAAGACCAGTTTCAGTTTTCTCACTGGTTACTGATTGGTAGGTGTAAACAAGAAAGAGTAATCAAGTGTAATTCTGCATGAATGTATTAATATGCTAACTCAAACTCAGAACTGTAGGAATACATGAAAAGTTTATCATCAGGTTGTACTGTACTGTATTAAAAGGTTATTGTAGAGAGCCTGGTTATTGGATTATGTGCAGATGAGTAGATTATGATAAAAATTAAAGTTTCACTATAATACGACCAACATAATGATTGTAGCGTATGTATGTACCCAATTTGAACCGCCCTGCTCTGACAAGTCTTTGCTTTAAGATTTATCATCCACTGTGTCAAATGCCTAGGTTAGATCAGTACAAATGGCTACAGAGGTTTGTTTTTACTTTGTTTGTACTGAATCAATATAATATTGTTTAATATTAATATTGTTTTAATTATTTTAACATTAGAAAATGTGATATATTTCATTCCAGGTGTAGGACTCGACCTAGGGGCAGAGCTTTATTGTCTCTCCTGTGAGGAGGGCCTCCAGCATGGCACCTCCATCGACTCCTCTCAGTTGGACGGTTCCAACCTGTCCGATAGATCCCTCGGCGGCAGCTCCGAAAGGAAGAGGAGAAACGTAGACAAAGCCAGCGGTGTTGCGGACCCCGCCCCTAAACTGTACTCCTGTTCGCTGTGCACCTTTACCTCGCGCTACTCCAACCATCTCAAACGCCACATGCGGACCCATGACGGCCAGAAGCCGTACCGCTGCCCCGTCTGCCCCTACGCCTCAGCCCAGCTCGTCAACCTGCAGCGCCACGCCCGCACACACACCGGGGAGAAACCGTACAGGTGCCACCAGTGCAGCTACGCCTGCAGCTCCCTCGGCAACCTGCGCAGACACCAGCGCATGCACACGCAGGAGAGACCGCAGAGGAGGGAGAAGGAGAAAAGACGGGGAAGACGGAAAAAGGCAAATGGTGATGCTGAAGAAGGTGAGTAAACACAAACCTTTACATCAATTACGGTCTCAGAGTTAAAAAGCTGATAAATTTGTGTTAAAACAAGTTTGTTAATCAATAATTTCACAGGCTGCCTGCAGCTTCTCTCTCTTTTTTTAATCACTTTGAAGGAAACTCTTTCTGATTGCTAATCTGACAACTAACTTTTATATATGTCACCTTTGGACTGAAAACTCAGTTCATCATCATCAGTATAAATAACATTTTCAGATCGTCTACGTAGCAGGGTGTGCCACTAATGTGAAAAAGCAGCCATTTAGGAGAAGTCACAGCGATGTCTTTTTGTTCAGTGTTTCCCTCTTTGGTGGGTTTGGAGGCTTCCTGGAAAAGTTCTCCTCTGGGATTTTAGACCGATTAACACCTGTTTAAGGATTTTTCTTGTAATGCATTTACAGTAATGACTTGTTTTCAGTTTGGGTAAAGTTGGTGTCACCAGTGCTCCAGTGTGCTCTGTGGACCGTGACAGGTTAGGTGAATAACAGAGTCATGTGATAAAGGAAGCACACCCTCTTTCTTGCCATGATGTAATGCAAAATTATCTGGTCTGTGGCAAAGGTGTACACCACGAGCAAAGTTCATAACACATACATGCTTTATATGCTTTGTTTCTTAACAACCTAAAACATGCTGCAAATGAATGAACTGGTGCAAAAGTGGCTCTTCCAGCCAATTTGAAAACTTTGAAAATATTACCTGGCCCCCAACCGTATTATGTTTTTTAGCATCAGTTACCATGGTGATTTAGCCATGTAAAAAGGGGAGTCACTTAGCCATTAACCCCTTAGGTTTTAAAATAATGTAAATACAATCCTAGATGAACAACAGCACATTTGTGTGGCTTAGTGCCAGGAGATAAAGCTGTCATGATATCCATTTTTAATGAATGATAAGAATTCTTGTTAGAATATATTACAACATATAAAATTGTAAACCTTAAAGTTAGGGCTGCACGATTAATCGTTAGAAAATCGCGATCTCGATTCATACTTATGTGCGATCTCATTTCCAAATGACAACGATTTAAAAAAAAAAAAAAAAAAAAAAAAGACGACGATTGTACCGCATTTTGATCCGGGACGTATCTGCATGAAAACAAGCGCTCACTCTTCCTGCTCAACAAATGACAAGGGCGGAGCCTTATACCACGTGATACAGAAGCTGTGCCGTGTGATGCTAAAATTAGCAGGGAAAAAACAACGGAGAGCACGTCAGGGATGACGAGAAAGTGACAGGAGAAAATCCGTCCCGGTCAACCACCCAAACATCAATAACGGGAACCTTATACAGCGCTTCCCTATACCGTCGAACTCCCGCAGGCACAAAGAAATTACGGAGGCTATCACTTATCACCTGACCAAAGATATGGCTCCCATCAACACTGTGCAAAACGAGGGATTTAGGAAAATGATCAACACCCTAGACAAACGCTACACAGTGCCGTCCCGCAACTATTTTTCTATTGTTGCACTACCTGCTCTATACACGCAGCGTCGAGCAACGGTGGAGACGGAATTTCAAGCAGTACAACATTTTGCGGCAACAACAAAACGTGAGACATTTGTTGTTTTTATGTTTATTTATTGTTTTTATGTTCAGTCTCAACTGTTACGAAGTTGATGTGCAGTTAATAAGTGCAATAAATATTTATACTGGAAAAGAAAATCGTGAGAGAATCGTGATCTCAATTCTAAGCCAAAAAATCGTGATTCTCATTTTATGCAAAATCGTGCAGCCCTTAAAGTTAGTGTCTTACTTTAGATGTAATTTCAAATATGTCTACATAACACTTATATATGTGTATGAGATGTGTGTATTTTGTTTTGCTCTCTCTCTCTCTCTCTCTCTCTCTCTCTCTCTCTCTCTCTCTCTCTCTCTCTCGGGTTGGGGACTGCCCTCCGAGGGAAAGGCAGGGGAAACACTGCAGATCTAAGAGCGAAGCATGTGTTATTGTGTCGTTGTGAAATCATCATTATAACAGCAGCGATAGATTTCAGCTTCAGTGTGACCACATGTTGGGTATTCAGTTTTTCATTATCAGTTGATTAAATGTTCGTGTGTTTGTCTGTTGGTTATAGTCACATGCATCTCTTTTTGATAAAGGAAACCACTCTGACGTCGAGTCTCTTTGTAATTCTGTTTTTAAAGTCTCTTACTACAATTTAGTGTCTTTGTGACGGAGCCGTGAGATACGCTCACTTTTGTTGCTTGTTTGGGTCAAGCCCCACAAACACACACATGACGCCTGCATTTCCCATTTAGCAAAATGCTCACATATATCCTGTGGTATTCCTGTAGTTTTGTGATTTAAAAACTAACCAGGCTTTTTAAGCTGTTCCTTATGTAGAAATTTCTAGATTGAAAGCACACTTAAAACCTGGGAATATCACAAACCCAGAGCAGAGGTTTGATGACATGTGGAAGGTTTGCATTTTGGAGATTTGACAACTCCGATTAAAAAAAAAAAACAACCTTTTTCTGAGGGGGAGATTTCTCATCTTGGAAGCAGTGAGCAGAGCAGAAAAGAGGAAGCAAGTCAGCAAAATGAGGAAGAGAAATTCTCTCTGGCTTAGTGCTCAGTGACCTAAAACTGAACTGCATGATGGGGAACATCTAGAAGAACGTGTTTACACTGCAGCTAATAATGATCCAAACAACTTTGCCTTTTGAATGCTTCCCTATGTGTCTGCAGTCATGTCAGACCTGACCCTGCGAGTGTCCCAGGACTCTGCTTACCTCCAGACGTTGGGAGGACTCGGCTCCCCCTCCGGCCCCCTTCCAGTCCTCCTCTTCCCGCTCTGCTGCCGGGTGTGCGGCCTCACCCTGGAGGAGTCTGACCTAGAGGGCGACAAGGCAGAGGGAGAGGTGGAAGGCGATGGAGGACAGGTTTGTTTACCAAAACAAAGCTGTTTTTCTTTGAAAGATCCTCTGTAAACTTTAGGATGAAATGAGGGGTTGTACAATGTGTAGTTTGTTTCCACGACAAACAGAAAAACAGAAGCTCCGCCCACCACAAACTTCCACATTTTCCCAGTTTACATTAACGATAGCAGAGTGACTTCCTCCCTCATACTGCTGTCACAAGCTAAAAAGTCAGTGGCAATCTTAAGGTGGTGCACATGTTCAGGCCGCCATAGATTCAGATGGCGGTATTCTCTCATTGGTTTTGATAAATTTTGTCATAATTTTTTTTGTCAGATTTCCAATACATGCCATTTTCACCCCGTATTGTGTCTTCAGCTCTATCTACAAGTTCTCTATGGTCCCAGCAGGATCAACCAACCTCCTGACAGGAAAAATCTTAATGATTTAGTTGTTAATGGACTGGTACTGATATAGTGCTGTTCTACACAAATTGAATAATTAAAGTGCTTCCTTACTACAAACCTCATTCAGCCACACCTTCAAACAAGTACTTTTTTCCCCCCCAATGCCCGAACACTTTTTAGTCCCTGTCATTTAAAAACTTTGTAAAACTTTCTGCTGCTGCTGCTGCTAATTAGGATTTGTGAGCAATTTTGTCACGTCAGGGCTGCTCTCTTTTCTGGAGTTAAAAGCTCATAAGTATTAATAGATGAACAAATGTGTAAGATGCCTCATTATCTTATTCTTGTCAGTTCAATTATATTTATATAGCATCAATATACAAAAACACTTGGCTAAAGAGACTTTATATTGTAATGTAAAGCGCCTAAAATAATCCAGAGAATCTTCAACAATCAGATGACCATCTATAAGCAAGCACTTGGTGAATGTGGGAAGGAAAAACTGATGTTGAAGGTGGCTATCCCACTGTGGGAACGTTTTAAACCTGCAGGCTTTCTAATGACCACCACGGAGCGGCGATTCTGGTTAATGACCGTTTGATTGTATGATCTGTCCACAGGAAATGTTTCCTCTCACTGTGTGCTCTGTTATTTTTCCAGGTTTGCCGCCGTTGCTCCAAAGACAACTCAAGGGCTCCCTGCAGCAGGGACGTGTCTCGGGGATCCCGGCGCGTTCAGCGCAGCAACAAGCTGTACCGCTGCCCTCACTGCCCCTTCCTGTCCCACTACCCCAACCATCTGGCCCGCCACTCCCACGTCCACTCAGAGGAGAAGCCTCACCGCTGCCCGCACTGCCCCTACACCTCCTCACATCTCGACAACCTCAAGCGGCACCTGCGTGTGCACACAGGCGAGAAGCCTTACCAGTGCCCGTCGTGCAGCTACGCCTGCGGGAACTTGGCTAACCTGCGACGTCACGAGCGCATCCACTCGGGCGCCAAGCCGTTCCACTGTTCCATCTGCGGCTACTCCTGCAACCAGAGCATGAACCTGAAGAGGCATATGCTGCGGCACACGGGCGAGAAGCCGTACGCATGCGGCGAGTGCGGCTACACCACGGGCCACTGGGACAACTACAAACGCCACCAGAGGAAGCATGGGCACAACACGGACAGCTGGGACAAACACGCGCCCATCAACGGCCTCGGCTGGGGGCAAGATACTCAGGAGAGCCAAAGTCAGGGACAGGAGCACTCTTAGATACTGTGTGTGTGTGCGTGTGTGTGAGGGAGACAAAAAATGACTGCAGCGGTTAGTCGATCGACAAAAAACCCAGTATCATTATTATAATAAGTTCAGGGTTTTAGAGTCCACCTTCTCCAGTGTGAGCTTCTGATTGTTTATAAAATCAAATTTTAAAAATATTTAGCCTCTTATAAAGACACATGCTTTATGTAAAAGTTAGGCGTGGCCATGGTGATGTCACTTTTGTGATGCTTAAAGCTGAGCAGTTTGACTTACCAGTTAAGTTGCCTGCTGCAAGCTACTAGAAATATTGCAGTTTAAGGCACTTCCACTTTGGCTTTGCTTGGCTGATCCAGAGGTTATGTCCATCTTTTATATGCATTCTGTGGCTGGATGAAACAAGGTGAAAGTAAATAATCGTCTTGATGGAGCGCAGTCCTGGTGTTTCTGTGGATCACAGGATTACTCTGTGTGCCCTGCAGGCCCTCGGAGTAATTAAAGTGATCGAGATGATAAACACAAAGATACTTTAAAGAACCACAGAGAGATGCAAAACCATTATTAAAAAGCACAAAATGAGCATGACAAGATGCAAAACAACTGTATAGAGAACTCCAAAGAGATACAGAAATATCAGTGTGATCTATGTCTTTTTGTGACACCAATATGAATATGAACATGACAAACTTTCTCAGGGATCACCCACGCTAAACATGTTCCCTCCATGCTTACAGTCAGGATCAGCATCATCACAGTTTTGCTCTTTAGTTATTTACAGCTGCAAATTAAAACCACACCAATGCTGCATCACCTGCAGACCAAGGCAGCTGATTCTCACACATCCATTTGCTGACTGCTGTTTACTGAGGTGAAAACTCACTTCGTGTGTAGCAAGTTTGCAATTTCTCGAGGTTTAAAAAAATGCCAGCAGCTATTTTTTTTAAAAATTGTTTTGTTTTGTTGCTCAACTAATCGCTGCGTCATTAATCAGGACAAACGCCGGCAGTGAAACTGGAGCAAAGCCACACTTTAAAAGTGATTGTAACCCACAAACTACACAACAATATTTAACTCCTGCAGGGCAGTGTGAGCATCATGCTGGCTTTTT